GAAAGTGTCTTTTTTCGACCTTATTTGGCCGGAATTGCGACCAGATACGTCCCCCGAACGTAAGGCACGCTGATAATGAATGTATCCAAGCTATCAGTACACAGCCATAATGAGGGTGCGTTGTGTTCGGGGGAAGAGAGTAGTGTGAGAATGCCCTCTTAGTCGCCTCTTGAGGGGGGGGAAGGGTGGGGAGTTGGCTGTTGCACACTTCCGTCTTTACCCGAATAAAACGTACTTGGCCCAACTTTCAGTCCAGATGCAGCGAAAATGACGGAACGTAATTGGCCCAACTTTCAGTCCAGATGCAGCGAAAATGACGGAACGTTATTGGCCCAACTTTCAGTCCAGATGCAGCGAAAATGACGGTACTCGGGTGAAGACGGCCCGTCCTGACTGTACTCAGATCCGGTCCTCCCTTGATTGGCTTAATCATCAATCAAGTTGATGACTGATGGCGACTAATTACCCTTCCTTGCCTCGACCACAACGCATCCTCATCGTGACTGTATCCGGACCGGAAAACGGGTATGTGCGTTCATGACGGTAGTGCGTTTTGCTTTATTCGGGGAAGAAGGTAGCCTGATGACGATGTAGCGATACTCTACCTCTTCTGGTCGATTAATTAGATGGATGATTGATGATGATTGGCTCGATGATTAGCAATTCTGATTGATGATCGGCTTGATGCTTAATTAGTAGCTTCGAAGATGGATGATGATTGGCTGGTTTGTTGATGGGGCTGATTATGATCAGCTGACTGACCACGATTAATTACCTTGATGATGATGATTAATTAGTTCGTCGCTCATCAACGAGCTGGATGAGCGGGTCTGGTGAGCGCGACCCGTCTTCCTCCCCCGAATACAACGCACTCTAATTACGTCGGTATCGGGCCGGTAAGACAGCTTGTATACATTCTTGATCCGGTGCGTTGTGTTCGTCGGAGGGGATGGGTAGTTGGCCCATATGAGTCTGTGAGTAATGAGCATCTCGCTGATTACTCCTCACGTCGAATTCTTACGGACGTCAACCAATTACAGCTAATCGTCGTTGTCGTCGTCTTGAGAGGCTGGATTCTCCTCCTGCTGCCAACTCTCTCTTGAGGGCACGGCTGGATCGCCTTCCGTCAATCAATCTCGACCGTTCGATTGCCAGCGCCACGCATATATATAGATAGATAGATAGATAGATAGATAGAGAGATAGAGAGATAGATAGATAGAGATAGAGATAGAGAGAGAGAGAGAGTCGTATGATCGAAACGAAGCACACGCTCGTTTCCTCGCGCGCGCGTAAGCGCATCAAGAAGCGAACGGGAGAGCGGTGGGAGTCGAAGGTGGGGGGTTGGCGGAGAGAGAGCGCGCGCGCGCGCGCGCGAGCGAGATGTTTGGCGCAGCCGCTTATTCTTGGGGAGCTGGAACCAATGGGCAGCTTGGCACGGGAAAGTTCGTCGATGCTTCCCGTCCACAGTACATAGAGGCATTGCGCGGACGGAGAATACGAGACATGGCATGCGGAGGAAGTCATGGAGTCGCGGCTGTCGGAGCTGAAAATGGTACGTTCGGGAAAAAAAAAAAAAAAAAAAAAGGTCCGTTCAGATAAAAAGAAATAGCGAAGATGGAAAAAAGATAGAATGGAAGACACCAAAAAAAAGAACAAAAAAAACAAAAAAAAAAGAACAACAAAAAAAAGAAC